TTAGTCAGGCATGATCTACCTGCTATGAACCCGTGCTGGTTTCCCCTCAGCATAATTTTTTCTGCTGGGCTCTCACATATATGAGCCTTAATAATCTTTTCAAAGACTTTGCCAAGGATGGAGGTGAGACTGACTGGCCTATAGTTGCCTGGATCCTCCTTCCTCCCCTTCTTAAAAATAGGGACCACATTGGCCCTTTTCCAGTCGTCCAGGACTTGGCCCGTGCGCCACGAGTGCTCAAATATTCTTGCCAGTGGTTGTGCAGTGATATCAGCCAGTGCCTTCAGTACCCTTGGATGGAGCTCATCCGGGCCTGCTGACTTAAACACATCCAGTCCTTCCAAGTGACTCTGCAACATCTCAGGGTCAACGCTTGGTAGTCTGGCGCCCAGCTGTTGCCTCTCTACAATCCCATTGTGAGACTTGTCTTGCCCCTCATTTAGGAAGACTGAGGCAAAGAACTCATTGAGGAGTTCAGCCTTGTCCTCTCTGTCTGTCACCAATTGCTTTTGCCCATTCAGTAGTGGTCCTATCCCACCCTGTGCCTTCCTTTTATTCCCTATATATCTGAAAAATAATTTTGTGTTATCCTTAACTTGGGATGCCATCCTCAGCTCCATGGTAGCTTTGGCCTTTCTAACTGCCTCCCTACAACTGCGAGCTGAAGAGGTATACTCCTCTTTAGTAATCTCTCCCTGTTTCCACTGCTTATATGCCCCACTTTTTGCCCTTAGGCTGCTCTGGATTTCTCTGGTCAGCCAAGGAAGCCTCTTGGCCACATCTAGTGGTTGTGTCAGGGTTGACTTGTGTAGTTCTGCTAATAGTTTAGACAACAGATTTGTATAGGGTGGTTTGGACATAGGTGATCTTACCTCAGCCAGGGGATTGGACTTGATGACCTCTGGGTATCCTTTCCAGCCCTACTTTGCCATGATTTTATGAAACAAGGGGATTCTTCACTACACTGGAATACATTTCATTATATATTTTCATGGCTCAGGCCCCTGGCCAGGGAGCTGGGAACCAAAGGCAATTCAGGTCTGGGTGTCGGCAAGTGATCTTAAGTCTCTATTTCTGGCAGGGGTGAGATTAAGAATTTTTAAGAGAGACCCCAAGGCATGAGGAGGGGGTATAGCTCGGTGGCAGAGCATTTGACTACAGATCAAAAGGTTCCCTAGTTCAAGTCTGGGTGCCCCCTTCCAAAGCTAGTTTTGGGGGCTGGACCTGATGATTTGTAAGGTCCCTTCCTGAAGGGGTGACTGGTGCCTCCTGAGTTATGGGGGGCAGTTTGTGGGCAGGCCAAAAGCCCCATATCCACTTCTGAGCTGTGTTTAGTGTGTCTCCACCTTGCAACATTGCTGGCCCATGGGGTAAAACAACTGCCGCCTCCTGAGCGGTGCCGTCAGGGGCCAATCTGGGGGGGGTGGAGATGTGCCCCCCTACCAGTCACCTGCGCCTTCTAGCCCCTAATATCTATGAACCTGTTACAGGTGAGAATTACACAGTAGCAGAATCACACTAAAATTAGCAGATTTTTCCCCCACACAATACGGAAGTAACTTGTGGGTCTTGCTGAAGCGGAGTGGCATTCAAGGAAGGATAATGAAAACCTGCACAGACGCCCCTTGAAAAGCTGCAGCTCAGAGCGGCTTCTCCCCCGACCGCCGCGGGTGCCAACCGCCCCCCGCACAGCCCCACGATCCACCGGGGCCAGCCCCCGCCCAGAGCCGGGAAGAATTGGCCCCACCCGCCTGCCTGCCCTCGGTCCTCGGCGCGGGGTAGTGACGCCATCAGCCGGCGCCGGCCCGGAGCGGGGCTGAGAGAGGAAGGAGCTGCGCCGCTGCCGCCGCCATGGGGGGAGGAGACCTGGTGCGGGGCCGGGGGTGGTGGGGCTTGTCTCTGTCTCGCCTGGGGCTGGCCGCAGAGGCCGGGAGGCGGCCTTGCTCCCGGCCGGGTGTCGGGGCTGGGGAGGGGGCGCAGTGGAAGGCGCCCGGTGTCTTGCTGGGGTGGTGGCTCCCCAGGGCAGGGGTTGTGGCCGATTGTGTGCAGGGCCCTGCCTGGCACCAGGCAGCCTCTGACCGAGACAAGTGGCGCTCACGCTTCCTGCCCCAGCGACGCTTAGCCGAAGGGCCCCGGGCACTTGGGATCCCTTCAGGGGTGTGGTGGGGTGCCCCACAGTAGCAGCCCCTTGAGATCCCTTTGGGGGTGCCATGGGCACCACACAGAGTTAGCCCCTCAAGATCCTTTTGGGGGTGTCATGGGGTGCCTCACAGCAGCAGGCCCCTGAGATCCCTTCAGGGGCATTGTTGGGGCGCCATGTACAGTTATCCCCTCGAGAACCCTTCAGGGGTACTGTGGGGCACCACGCAGAGTTATCCCCTTGAGATCCCTTCAGGGGTGCCACAGGGCACCAACGCAGCAGTAGTCATGTTAGGTGTGCAAACATGATTCATGGGATTATGAACCCAGAAATGCCCAGTAGGAATCCATGGTGTCCAAAGCCTTCTGCTGTGCTGTGGTTTTTCTAAGTGCTTGGCCACAGGAATCTCGCTTTCTCATTTTTCTGTGCTTAACGAGTGAGAACTCAGAACAGGCATTTGCTGAGGGGGACCTTGAGTCTAATGAGGGCTGTATTGAGTTGGAGAGCCACTGCTCTATTCCCTCCTTCCCCCCAAAACATCTGTGTATGTGTACCAACACAATATACAATGTCAGGTTCTTAAAAGAGATCCCCAAGACAGCTGTTTTGCAAAGCTCAAGGGTTAGAAGGCAAAGAAACTCTTTAAGTTAAGGTTGTATCTCCAAATCCACCCCTTCCCCACAAAATATTTGAGCCTCAGCTCTACCCTGTTTACTAGAGGCTTTGCAAGTGGTGAAGGGGGAACTGACTTGTGGTTTTGTTGTTGCTGATTATTACTTGGTGTGTTGGTAGTGTGTGTGCAAAATAACAGCTTAATGAGTGAAAGATGAGGTCCTGATCCTGCATCCTTTGAATAATTGCAAGTCTTGGTGATGGTGAAGGGGTTGAGCATGTGAGAAATGCAGCAGCAGACCCTAAATTATTTCAGTAACCTGCTTTCAGTATTGATATACTGAAGTACTGTGAATGTATGCAAGGAAAGATTATTTTAAGTATGACGTTTGTCCCAACAGTGTGCCTTTCATTCACCCTCATGGGGCTCCTTTGAGAACTTTTCAGTGAAAGGGAATGCAAGGGTTTATGGACATGGCGAGGGTTTAGGGGCTTAGCATTCAAAAGGCATTCCCCAGTAAAGGAGGGCTTTGTGGGTTCCCAATCTATGTAGAATCTGAAGAAGAGCTGGCACCCTCAGACCCTGCGCAATGTGGAGAAGGTGTGGAAGGCCGAACAGAAGCATGAAGCCGAGCGGAAGAAGATTGAGGAGTTGCAGCGGGAGCTGCAGGAGGAGCGAGCCCGGGAAGAGATGCAACGCTATGCAGAGGACATGGGAACAGTCAGGTAAGCATGCCTGGGGCACAGCTCTGTGTTTTAATCTGTACATTAAGTTTCATCCCTGGGGGCAAATCCTGTGTTTTATTTCATGGGAGAAATTTCTGAATGGGGGACATTTCTTTTAGGACTTTATTTACAACTACCAAAGTTCAGCTATAAGCTAACTTTCTTGTTTGTTATGTTATAAAGACGTGCCATGAAAAAAAGAACAAAAGAACAAAAGACTCATAATGATAGGCAAACAATTACACTTTCCTTTGGTATTTATTGGACTACAACAATCAAGGTCAACCTTTTTGGCAGATGTGCCACAAATTAAGCGCCATGCCCTCCCTGAGTGCCACTCTGATCCCCTTCCCTTGCACTGTCTGCTGCTCTGTTTTCTACTCCCTACCCTGTGATCCCTGTTCAATCTGCCACTGTTCTGCTTGCCCCCTTTTTGGTCTGCCTTGTACCAGATACAGAGGCTGCTCATGCCACTTGGGACTCAGGCCACATATGGGCCACCCGTGAACTAGAACAGTCTAAGTACCTTTGGCTGTGGCATTTCTCTTGCTGTGGAAGTTTATTTCTAGTGGTGGGATCAGCTGGACTGTAGAACTGTCTCCAAAAAGAAAGATGGGCATTATTCAGGAATGCATAAAAGCTAGAAGGATGATATGTAGAATTATTCCTTAAAATGATGGTCCCCAATAGGCTTTTCCCATGTTATTCTAAGGCCCTTATCTTATGAAGACTTAGTTTCATAGTTTCTAGGGTCGGAAGGG